AGTACTATAAAGTGTATAAAAAAAATTTTTAATAAATTGTGTAACCATTTTCCTTATATGGGACGGTCGTACCTGAGAGTCTACTATGGCAAGAAAATGTCGATAATATAGTTGAAGATTGGACGTGCCTCAACGTAACAAGTTTTTATCTTACAATAGGAAAACAAACGTGTTTGAAAGAAGTGCTGGGTTTTATACATAAAGATCTTCGAGAGATTGCGAATTCTGATTCTGGATTTGACGCGACAAGGAAAAAAAAAGCTCAAGAAATACTGTTTAACTGGAAAGTATGCATGCTGATAGAGTAGAATGAGCTTTTTGTCCGAACAGTGATGAACTTTAAGTTCGACACTTAGCGCAAGCTGGGACTTCAAGTCTTTAGTGATGAACTTTAAGTTCGACGCTTAGTGCAAATTGGGACTTCAAGTCTTACAAGGACAGGGCTCTTAGTCCAATGCTTCTTTTACTCTTATATCCTTTACTCTGTATTGTTATTGTTAAATGTTTCTAAAGTTACACTAATTATTCTTTGTTATATCAAGAACTGGACTACATCAGTAAAGAACTTCAAAAAAGATTGTGCACGAATCAAAGTCGATCTTATGAAGGTAAAACAGATAAACCAATTTTCAACCGGAGATGGAGCAACATACAACGACAATCGTCAGGGGAAACATCGTCGAGATGTGGATGAAGAAGAAGAAAAGATGGGCACCGAAAGAGCTACAATTCCGGCAAAAAAGGTGAGATTAAGTGACTCTATTAACGTATTAATTCCATAGCTGAACATCAACAATCATTTATGACATAAATAACAAATTGACGTTTTTACCTTTCCACCTCATAAACAAGTGCAAAACTAAATCTGAAAAAAGAACGAGAAGTGGGAGAGTAGTTGTACCGGACTATCGTGGATTACTTACAGGTACGGATGTCGGAACTTCCTCCAAAAAAACTACATACACAGATGAAAACCCCTCTCAAGAAAACGAAGAGACCGAGGATTCTTTTGAAAATCGCTTCCAAGGAAATCATGAGAAGAGATCTATTCAAGATGATATTGTAAGTAATTATCCAATAATGCACTTTAAAAACAACAGATGTTTAACACTTTGATTTTTTTTCTACCAGGTAACAGATATATTAGCAAATACTGAACTCTCAAACGTATCAAAAGAAATTTTTACGATTTATAAAGCGCAATACCCTGATGGCGATCTAATTGATCTCCGACTGAACTCGCCCTTTTTAAAAAAACTTTCAAGACAAATAGCAACGTCGTATCTAACGGAAATGGATACCATGACAGAGACGTTGGTCCCCGCAAATGTTCACGAATTTCTTGTAAATTTTTTTTCACAAAACTTAACAACCGAGAAGTGGAATTGCCAAATCGATGATTTAAAAGCACCAGAAAAAGATGATTTTATAATGAACGCAATGGTACGAATTTTACGCCGTACATTGCCACAATTGTATGTAGGCATTATCGTCATATTGATTTATTTTTTCAGATTCTGTTCTGAATGTTTTCTTTTGTGTAGTATTAAGGCATTTTCACTCGAAGAACAGAACCCACTGTTAAATATCGCCACAATAGAACATGCGCATCTTAATTCTTTCGTTCACCCATGTCTTGACGCTTCTTTATGGTACATTGCAGGTATACACTATGAATTCGGCGAGATAACGTCGAAAAATCACACTAATGGTAATCGAGCTGATGGAGTCGGGTACATGACAGATGCCGACAAGTATCAGCTCATTTATGTTGAAGGATCGAGACCAGTAACAAAAGATAAAAAGGAAACCGATGACGTCAAAAAAATAACAGATAATTTAAAGAATATATTCGCGAATATCGTAAAAGAAACAATTAAAAGCAGGCAACGTTTACCAAAGAAGTTGTATGTATTCGGTGGCCAGAGTTTTCGTCTTCGGATATATTTATATTTTCTTGATCATTGTGGTATGTGTTTTCTTTCTATTGAAAAATTACACTGTAAGAATGTACTGATGATTTGTTACTAAATATTAATTCAGGAACGTATAGATTAAACGAGATTGATAATGCCAATCTTCCTCGGAAATTTTCTGAGATGAAATATTTCGTTTATTTCTATGAAAGTGTATTAAAATGGGCGGTATGTATTAATGTGGATTTACGTTATGATATTAAACTTCCACTTATCTTATGTATTTATAAATTTAGCTATTGGTTCGTGATGTTACAGCATCCTTTGATGATGCAAGAGCTGAACAAAGACCTTCGCGACTTTCGTACGCAAACGCTCTTCTCCAGTTGGATTGATCTTTATTGATGTTAAAAATGGTTGTAATATGTGGGCATCTTGGACTGATTCGAAAATATTGATCTTACATAAATTATGAATACAATAATTTCATTGATATATTTCTCTTTGCAGTTCATAATAAACAATATAATAAAAACAATAAAAGCTTTTTTCAGTTGATTAAAAAAGTGATTTTTCTATACTGTAATCTACCAATTAGTATTTAAAGTTTCAAGTTTATTTAATGAGACCCAATTCTCGAAGATGCTCTGGAATAACTATATATGGGTCTTCGTAATGCCAAACATACCTCAAGGCAATCTGATTCTCTTCGCATAATTCTTTCTTGAGTTGATCCTGTGCTTGCTGTTTGATAAAATTATTGGGATCTCCTCTATGAAAGAATTCGATATATTTTTCGTGTTGTTCTCCTTGTACTTCGGTTGCAAATCTATATTGCGGGTAATAAATGTCAAGTTCTAATCCAGTTGGGTGATCTAAAGTTTTAAGAAAATCAGGTTGACGTATCTTAGATGGCGGTCCAAGATATTTCGACACAATCTCTCGACACAAATTTTCTCTTTTATATTTTGAGCAG